GATTTTCAAATAGTTGTATCTCGGCCAAATATCGTCCTATCCTAACAAGCCATACATTAATGGAAAGCTTATTTATTCATTTAAAAAAACTGACCCTTATGACTGGTTTTGTGGTCCAGGGTCACATTTGTTCACATATCAGTATTGAATATTAGAACTGAGAAAGCATTTGATGTGAACTCTTCTTGGTTTGTCATTTCAGTGTGAGAATTGTGACCTGCACTTCCGCCACAAGAGTCAGCTGCGTCTGCATCTGCGACAAAAGCACGGAGCCGTCACCAACACCAAGATCCAGCACCGCAGAAGCAGAACAGACCTGCCCGTCGCCTCCCTCGTGACCTCGTGAAAACACATCAAGCTCTTCAGAGACAGTTTACAGTTCCTTTAGCCAGAAAAGCCATCAGAACATACAGATGCCCGCATGGATCTTTGTCTTGCCAATGTCCGTGTTTACTCATATGGTGACGTTGCATATTATTTCTTAAATATGGATTAGTTCACCAGCACTTTCTGGTTCAGCCTGCATGATTTCATCTTGATGGTTTAAGATTTTACTTTAAATACTGACTGCCAAGCATCGTACGTCAAGCTCATAGTCTAAGATCTCTAGTATTTATTTTTTATTAAGAATGCTATTTCACTCCCTTTTCAGTAAAACTATGCATTGTATATAATATATGACAGGGAATATTGGTACAAATATAATTATGCAATTGCAGTGTGTATGTTTTGTCAGTGTGGTGCATTTAAAGAAGCTCTGCTTTGTCTGACAGTTATATTGGATTTACATGTATTTGTACAGCTGTTTTTGGTACTAGAGGGCCGAAGGTCCTTGCAATTAAATATTTCATACCAAACAAATGCAAAGTTCTGGTTTGATTATTATTATTTTTTTTGCATATTTAAGAATCTGACATTTACATACACATTTTTGATATTATAAAGTTAAATGCTAATATGTACAGCCAAATTACAGTTGTGCTGACATTCAGTGATACAAAACATTATTAGATTATTCAAATGGATTCTGCACATGTTGAGTAGCATAGATGAAGTATGAAAATGCTTCACAGAAATTTTAAATCTATTGTCAAGTTTCATAGCAAGAATTTTAAGAGTTGGTTTGTGTAGCTACAATTTTACACACTATTTATAAACATTGTCATGTTTAGTTTACGTTAAATTGGAATTTCTGTGGTGTTGTTTTAGTAATATTTATAGTAGTTTTTATTAATATTTTGTTTCAGTTTTGAGTTTTGTTTCTTCTAAATATTACTATATTAGTTCAGCTTTAATTCAGTTTTTTAAATGTTTTTTTTTTTAATGAGCTAACATGAACTTACAATGAATAGTTGTATTATTAACTAACGTAAACAAAAATGAATAGATACTATAGTAAATGTATTGCTTATTGTCAACAAACGTGTATATTTTGACCTAAAATCTTGATGCAGAATAAAGTCAAGTGAATATATGTCATCAAGCGGTTTGTTCGGGCAAGTTAGTGTAGCATACACTAAATATTAGGGATGTAACGATTAACCGCGAGCCGGTTGAAAATCGATTTAAATATGTGACGATTCAAATCGGTTGAGATGCTAAACAAATCGCGATTCAATTAGGGGTAGGAGTTTATATGAATGTATGTCTGAGGGAAACTTACTGTCTTTCCATGGTATTTTTTCTTTTCCTCTTGCCTCTGTATAATGCATATTAAAGTTCATAAGTGCAGCGCTGCTTTGTTTACAGCGGAAACAAGGAAAGGGTTTAAGCGCCACCTGCTGGCAGAGCATGAATCTGCGTCTCGTTCAGCTCGTCTGCTGTTTCTGTTTCTTGCAGATATTTTTATGTATAGTTTCACAAAACTGAAGTCAAACCATTCTGTTTTTGCTTCAAATTTCGAAATTATACAGTCTAATTTAGATTAAAAACTGCTCATGTTGCATGTATGCAGCATCTTTGTTTGGATCATGATTACAATGCAGTTGCCTCTAATTTTAAATGGAAAGAGCACAGACTAAACCTTAGTTTGTTTATATGAAGAGAGTTATTTTATTTGTGTTACTTATTTATTTGATTTGGGGCTTGTTTTAGCATTTCAATTTAGTTTTGTTATTTACATTTACATTATATTTAAATTTTGTTATTTAGCAAACGCTTTTATCTAAAGCGACTAACAAATGAGGACAATAGAAGCAATCAAAACCAACAAAAGAGCAATAATTTACAAGTGCTATATTAGTATATTATTATAGTGTTATATTTCAATTTCCCAAAGAAACGTACAGTATTTTGTCCAAGCAATAATAAAAGGACACATTTAATTTATCATTTGTCTTAAATTTCATTTTGTTAAAAAAAATCGTGAATCGAATCGAATCGTGAGTTGAGTGAATCGTTACATACCTACTAAATATATCGAAATATATATTTAAAAAAATTATATATATATATATTTAATAGGGGAAAAAAACAGAACCTAATCATCCAACATATTTCCACATTGTTTAACATTAGATTGTGGAAGCGTCACGCTGATTCATTCACCTATAAAAGTTCTGGAGTCGATTATATATATAAGGCACTTATCATGCTCTTCTAGTTTTTCCACGCAACACAAAACAATTTCTGTATGAATGTAGCTTTGTCCAAAGGGTTATTGTTGTGCAGAAACATGAGAGGTCCTTTCACAAGCACGGATTCATCCAGAAAGGCTTGTCTGCTTTATTTTACAGCTTTATACCTACAGTGCATTTAAACGGCGTCAACTAGTATTTTCCTCCAATGCACGAGAACAACTGTCAAACAGTGTGAGCACATGCGTTTATAGTTGAGAAACTAGATATTTTAATCTTTTCTATTGTAATTGTGTGTGAAAACAGCCATTCCCAAATTGGTCGTATCACGTTTGAAGTGTTTTAGACTGTGTTGAGAAGCTTCACAATTTGGGGTCATATGATGCGATTTCAATTTTTCCTTTCTCTTTGGAGTGTTACAAGCTCTTGGTGCATAAAGAACATCTGTAAAGTTGCAAAGACTAAAGTCTCAAATCCAAAGAGATATTCTTTATAAAAGTTAAGAGTCAACCACGCCTACCTGAAACGGCTCGTTCTAACACGCCCCCACATATCTACCTCACTATGTGGGAAGATTTGCATAACGCCACCCAAATGTTCACGCAAAGAAAGAAGGCGTAACTTTTATTCTCGCTGTAGTATTGTTGTTGCCGCCGCCATGTCCTGAAGACGCTGTGTGCTTCGTTGTGAAAGTGAAACTACTTTGTTTGGCCTTCCAAAAGAGGTAGCAGCATCATATGACCCCTTTAATGAGTTATATTGAAATCTAATTGAATTTGAAATCTAAATTTACCTTTATTTCAATTAAAATGATTACTAAGTGAATTAACTGTTGTTTTTCACTACGAGGTCATGCACAAGTTCTGTCCCTCACTTTCAGTTCTGTAATGTTGGCATTTTTACCAACTTAAGATAAGTTTTTGTATAGACAAACGTTCCAAAGTAACTTACTGTCCAATTGACTGTAACTTTTTTTCTGTTGTTTAAGGATTTTATTGGCCATTTTTGCACTGACTGTCAACCCTGTGATGTTTAACACACTGTAATGTAACAACACACTGAAACAGAATGACACACACAACCGTTCAAACGTGTGCTCAGGAAGAGTTACGCTTCTTGCACTGCATTTATTTGAATGCAAAAATATTATAAATATAAAATAATAATAAATATAAAAAAAAAATATTGTGAAATATTTACAATTTAAAATAACTGTTCTATTGCAATATATTTTAAAATGTAATTTAATCCTGTGATCATAACCGAATTTTCAGTATCATTACTCCCGTTTTCAGTGTCACATGATCATGCTTTGATTCTCAAGAAACATTTTTGATTATTCATTTTGAAAACAGTTGTGCTGCTTCATATTTTTGTGGAAAACATAAAACATTTTTATATTAAAATCTTTGAAAAAATACTAACCTCAGGCTATTGATCTTAGAAATAGAAGTTCAAAAGTCTAAATTGAATTTAGAAATGACTAACAGCTTATGAATCATCATTGAAAAATCCTAGAAAAAAACGATTCTGTTAAAAGAGACAATAACGATGGATCTTTTTTTTTTTTTACATTTTCAATTTATTTCCTGAGAAGAAAACATTTGGTGATGCATTTAGTGCCTGTCTTTTACATGTGAAACTAGCATTCAACTGAAGAAGGCTTTTATTCTTTTCCTGTAGTGCAGAATTGTGAAAACTGAGCATTAGATTAGAGTCAGAAGAGATTCAACATCAGAACGTTTATTTTTATTTTTTTCAGTGGGTTCCGTCATCCTTGATATTTCATATATTGTTTTGTGCTATTTATGGAACGGTCACATCAATAAGACAAATTCAGTTTCTTCATGAACAACACCAAGATGCTGAGACAATCAAATAAAAGCATGAGCCCCCATTCCCCACATCTTAAAATCTACTGCCTGAGCAAAGATGGCACGTGTTTGGAACACAGCAGCCACAATCTGATAAAAGAAAAACATACAGCTAAAACTCAGCTCTCCAGCAAACGGTCCTCAGAACCTGCTGTGGATTACAATACAAAACAATGAGAAACATGTCACCAAATATAACACAAACAGGTCTGGAAATCTACTCAAACACTCTTGCTTCCTGTTGGTCATTCATAGCTTAGAGAATGAAACGGTTAAGTGCAGGAGCCAATAGGAACTGCAGTATTTTATACACTGAATGAAAGATTATCCTGAAGTTAAGAGCAGAAGCGTGCATGTTCTCTTCCTACAGAAGTGCACTGAACATTATTGCTCAAGCTTGCTTGATTCTCTAATCAAATATTGTTCCTCATCAGTGTAATATTGAGCAAGTAAGGATCGCTTGCTCAGCAAAAGTGTTTTCCTTTCAGACTTACAAACATAGATATAAGCACACTCTCGCGTCTAAAAAAACCCCCCTATTTTACTGTTGAATGAGTAAAAATGTATATATATCGGTACATGAAGGCATAGCGCTGCCGACAATAAACAGACACCTTAATTTTCAAGAATTTGGATTTTTGCTGTGGACGTTTAGCCTTCTTTTTCCAGAATGTTCTTCACATCTGCAAACACCTGAAAGAAAAAAACAGATAAAAGGAAGCAAAATGAAACTCAAAAAGAATGGACAGATGTTTATCATTTACCTCGACTGCACTACGGCACAGTAAAGCACTTTAATATTATTTCTACAGTGGGTACGGAAAGTATTCAGACCCCCTTAAATTTTTCACTCTTTGTTATATTGCAGCCATTTGCTAAAATCATTTAAGTGAATTTTTTTCCTCATTAATGTACACACAGCACCCCATATTGACAGAAAAACACAGAATCGTTGACATTTTTGCAGATTTATTAAAAAAGAAAAACTGAAATATCACATGGTCCTAAGTATTCAGACCCTTTGCTCAGTATTTAGTATTTAAGGGGGTCTGAATACTTTCCGTACCCACTGTATATTATTATAGTATTTAATAATACATCAATGTATTAATATGGTATAAAAACAAAGAAAAAAAATTTTATAATGCAAACTCAATTTCAATGTTTTTCATTTTAATTTTAGTTGAAGTAATTTTGTTATGTGCTTTTTGTAATTTTTTTTTTTTTCTATTTAGCTCGGATTTATTTTGACTTCAGTCTTAGGTTCATAATTTTAGTACTTCAATTTCAGTTAGTTGTCAAGGCAACACTTCACTTTTGGTTTGTTTTAAGCTCAAGTTTTTCATTTAATATGTCTATGCACAATAGAATAACAGCATTGTTATATGAGGGACTATATATATATATATATTCTAGTGAAAGATACATCTTAATGAGCACACTTAATTAAATAAATTTGGGATTTTAATGAAAATTTGTCCTTTCAAGGAATGGTTCACCCGGAAATGAAAATTTGCTGAAAATGTACTCACCTTTGGGCCATCCGAGATGTAGATGAGTTTGTTCCTTCATAAGAACAGATTTGGAGAAATGTAGCATTCCATCACTTGCTCACCAATGGATGCTCTGCAGTGAATGGGTGCCGTCAGAATGAGAGTTCAAACAGCTGATAAAAACACCACAATAATCCACACCACTCCAGTCCATCAATTAATGTCTTGTGAAGTGAGCTGTCTGTAAATGAAAATGTGAGAGTCTACCCCTTGTCCTTCACCCACATATTTGTTTAGAACTGTAAACAGTGCTTGATCTGTGAATATTTCGCTACTGATTCAGACGAGATGACTTAATGGATAGAGATTTAAGCAGTTAAATATGTCTTAATGATGGTATTGTTTTTTTTACAAACGCTTCACAAGACATTAATTGATGGACTGGAGTGGTGTGGATTACGGTGATGATTTTATCAGCTGTTTGGACTCTCATTCTGACGGCACCCATTCACTGCAGTGATGTAATGATACATTTTTCCAAATGTTCCAAGTTGAAGAAATTGTTGAAGAATTGAAGAAACATATTTCCTATATGTTTTGGAAGGCCTGAGGGCGAGTAAATTTTCATTTTTGGGGGAACTATTACTTTAGTTTTTATTAATATGCATTAATGTCTTTCAATTAATAAAGCCTAACAAAATCACTTTTATGCAGAACTGCACCAAAAACCTCAGGCTAAAACAAAAAACAGATAAATTTAATGAAACGAGCTAAAGACAGTCGTACCTCATCCACTGATCGGGAGGCATCAATCGTGCGCACCTTCCCCTGCTTCTCGTACTGCTCTATAATGGGTCGTGTGGACTGGAGGTATGTCTGGATCCTGAAAATGAAACAAGAATGTTTAGGAAAACTTGAGGTGAATCAAAAGTGCAACCAAAACCACTGTAAACAAAGAGAAAGTAGTCCATACACTTCCATATAATGCCAAACTATTCAGTGACTGCCACCAAACACAACGCAAATTTATGAGGTCTGCTAAAATTATTATAGTAGATATACATGAACGGATACAGTTAAAATGGGGAGAAATACCTTTTCTCTAGACTTTCTCTGTTGTCATCGGTGCGTCCGCTGCTCTTCCCCCGCTCTAAACATCTGTCGATGCAAACCTGAAATACACGATAGCTGGAAATCACATTCAATCTAGACAGTATCAATTGTGAATGTGATCTTTTTGGTGTTTATGACTGATCAGCTTTACTACTAGTTATAACATGAAATAAACATGAATGAACATGTCTCATGTAATCACTCAATCAGTGTTTCAACCGCAGAAAGACATCAAAAAACCCAGCTTGTAAACAAAATGCTTTCACTAAACATTAGCCTATATATACTTAACCTTTCTTAATTACCGTCTCAATTATTAACAAGTTATAACAGTCACTGTGCAAATGATTTCAACAACAAATAGAAACTTTATAATTCGATTTAGAAGTTAAATGTAACAACTGCAATTTACATGTTTGCATACAATTTTTTATTTAAGTGTTAATTACTATATATAAAAAAATAAATTGAATTTAATAGTTTGGATTTTGTTGGTATTTGTAACCTTTAATATTACAGTAATGTGCAAGTAATAGGGCTCCGAGTAGATTTTTTTCTTTTAGTCAGAGTAACAATTTGTTCAGTAAACCATTGTTTAATAAAAAAAGAAAAGAAGAAACAATTTTATTTATTCCACCCTGCCTTTCCGAAACCATACCGAACAATGACATCAAAACTGAGGTTTGTACCGAACCATCATGATTGTGTGTCGTTACAATTTCCAAAAATCATTCCATTATTCATTCAAAAAGATACATCAATAATCAGCTGGCACTTAAATCAGCTGTAATGGTAGTGCAATAAATACATTAAAAAAAAAAATCAAACCTAAGCTGCTCCTCACCTCATTACCGCAGTCAAATAAAAGCACAAACTTGACATCCGCCTTCCCGTCCATGACAGTGTTCCATCCCTGCAGGTTGTCTTGGTTTCGTGGGAACCCATCGATAAGAAAGCGGAACTTCTTTTCATCGGCTTTCATGGTCTCTTCCATTGCCTGACAAATACAGATGTTTCATCAGTAAAGATAAATATCTGAAAACATCCATTTATAGATAAGATAAATGACTAATCTGCTCAGAAAAGGCCGGTCCATCAGAATTATAACTGGACTGTAAAGAGGCTAGGGCCTCTTAATAAAATATATCGATATTTTCTTTATAAGCGATTCGATATGAGGCAACACCGTTTACATGGATATACAGTAGTTTGATACGAGCGAATCTGAAAATATAGCGGAGGATACAGACTGAGCTGCTGTGGAGAAAGTGCATAATCCAATTTGTTCTAAACATGTGACAAGCTTCATATTAAGGCTTTTAAAAACTGGTACGACATAGTTTATAGTTTCGTTTCGCATATTAATTTTTAAAGTCCCCATGAAATCAAAATTAAAGTTTTTTGGGTGTTAGTATCAATATGTTAGTCTTAGGGTTATCTATAAGGCAGTGTGCTCCAAAACAGTGACAAAATTCACATTTAGAAGATATAAGCATTCAAAGCTTGCAGTTCGTCACTTCCGCCGAAACGGCTCAACGATTTTTTTGACGTCACATCGTACTTCAGCTTCTCATCAAACTTTCTGTCCAATCAAATGCTCTCTAGAATCCGAAGCGCCCGCCCCCTACACTATAAAATAGACGCTGAAGCCGCGGCTGAAATCGGTCTCTTGTCCACAGAATTAGAATTTTCTGTACAGTGAATGGCACGTAGTGCACTATATAGGGGACAGGGAACGATTCAAACAGTGTAAATATGCTTTCCATTGAGGAAAAAAAGAAGTCTGGTTTCGCGCTGTGTCACGCTAACCACCGCACCGCACACACACTCTGCTCCGGTCCAGAGACAGGATAGCATGGAGCGGATCACATGCGCGAGTCGGCGCAGACCACAAAATGTATCGGAGCTATTTGAATTCTACACAGAATGCTATATTTTATATCAATATGGATGAGATTGTGGCTGGCATACCCTGTCAAATGCGGCTTTACGGAGCTCAATGGCTCTGAACCATAGACGGCTCTAGCCCAAGCTGTGATATAAACGAACGCTATTGGCCATTTTAAAAAGGGGCGGGCTGATTGATATGTCCCGCCCTGTCTTCCTGTTTCAGTTAAAATGATGTCAACACAGAGTAACGCTGCGTGTTTCTAAGCATTTCAGGGGACCTTTAAGCGGCTCGGCCCGTCATATGCTCTGACTGAAAGGCTGCTTGTGCCGCTGACAGAGACACTACTCGCGTTATTTAATGTGTTTGAGTCTGAGATGTGCCATCTTCCTGAATGCATAACTTACATTTCACAGGTATATTCTCCATCTGTAAATGTTAGAAAGTCGTGGAAATATTTCCATTTTTCTGTCAGAAGTGCATGAGCCTTCTGCTTTGGGATACTCCGCTAGACTTCAGTGAACGAGCGCCAAACAGACAGAGCTCAATTAAATAGGAGCGTAATAATTCTGACTAAAATACGTATTTCGCTGAAATATTTGTAGTTGGCCCAGAAATGTGACATGTAGAATTTTAAACCTAAAAGTAAGTCTATTTTTATGATAGCACTGACTGTAAAGTGACTGTAATGGTGTAATCAAAATAGCCTAACACAACTGTGCTTTTGTTCTCATTTATCTTTAGTTTAGTGAATTTAACTTGCACTTTAAAAGCCTTATTTTTGTTTTTACATCGCAATGTTACAGTGTTAGAATGAAATGTAATTTTAACCATTTTTGCACATAATATAAAGGCTTACAAGGTTACATTCACTTTATTTGTTTTCATAGCCTTTAATATGTATTGTTTTGTTGGACAACACTGGGCGCTAAGTGAAATATATAAATATATATTAAATACAGATTTTTTTAAATACAAATACAAAAACGAAAATACCGAGATATATACCGTATATCGCAAATCGCCCAAAAAATACCGAGATATTAATTTTTGCCCATATCGCCCAGCCCTAGAGGCTCGTCGGTTTATAATGGTATCACAGTTATGCTTTATGCCTATTATGAGACAAGCCTGTTCATTTATGTCTATTATGAGCCGCTCTTTTAACTCTCCTCCCCTGAGAGTGACACGCATTTGTAATCAAGTTCACTTTCAGTGATAATTCTCTAAAAATGTCCACCGCTAATGTTCCAGTTTCCTTCTACAATCACCACGAGTCACGACCTGGAATGCTTTGGCTTGTTAAGCAGGACGGACGAGTGTAACCACCTTTTTCAGCAAGTTGATGGTGATTTCAACAGGAACTATTTTGCCCTCTTTGATGAAGGAGTCGATGAGCTGACCAAACTCGGAGCCGCTGCGGCTGCGCTCCTCTCTCAGCAGGTCTCCAGCAGACAGGTGAGTGTAGCTGTAGTTCTGAGCGCAGGAGGAAAACACATTACACAACTTTACACATCACAAAATTCAATGTATTATATTAGTCAACGAAACCTGTAAGATCATAAGCGTCTTACAAAGGAACATGACAACTGTCATTCATATGAATGGAATAAAGAGGGGTGTGTATGGGTTTGGTAACTGAACAGGCAGCTTTGTAGCAAAGGCTGTCCAGACACTAAATTTGACAGATCAAATGCTTTTTAAGATCATGAGACACATTTTCAGTCAAGTGCGTCCAAACGTTTGGCTGCTGGAGTTTCTGTGGCCTTCATAAGCATCCAAAAACATTTTCAACATTTGACTTATTCATGTGTATTTTCTGTCTTCAGTGCCTTTAGTGTCCTTACATGATCCTTCAGAAAGTATTCAATATTATATACAATATTACTGCTTTTTTGATCAAACTAAGCGTAAGACTTTTTTTTTTTTTCAAACACTAAAATCTAAAAATACAAAAAAAACATTCACAGTCATATCAGTTGCATGTTTCACACATATGCCCTTTTACCCAATGCTGGTGCCAAATCATATGACAGCTGAACACTGCACAGACAGCAGGGTGGGACCTGTTTGAACACAGCTCCTGTTCATAACCAGGATATAGGAATATGAATGTGGAAACCCTCCAGGGACTTTATTATAACTCAATGCACATTTTAATTCCGAGAAAATTATATTTTCATCAAATTTATTATACCATCATGTCAGATGAAACATAGTATGGCTGTTAAAGAGACCAAATGGCGCAGGGAAATGGCATTTTCCTTATGAAATGTCTTACCCGAGGACACACGGAAATTAACGATCCATGCTAATCTGAAGCCATTAACATTCTAGCAGCCCCATAAAGCCTCGTTGTCTTGCATACAGCGCTTCTATAGTTATTCTCTATGAATACGATAAAAGATCTCTCTTACCTCCACGATTCTCGCGCATTGTGTCCCCTTCCCCGCGCCAGGCCCGCCCAAAACAAACACGACCTGCGGCTTCATCATCACACTCAACCTGTGCACGACGCGTGGGAGCTTCTCCGACAGCCTGTGCAGCAAAGCCACAATCATAAACCGTGCGGATAAGAGAGAGCCGCACTAATGAATGACCATCGACCCCTGCGAGTCAGGTACAGAGCTGCTTGAACGACCGGTCGATGCGTGTCCAGGAAGTGCGCGGGGCAGATTCCACTTCCGCCTACACGTGTCCGACCAATCAGAGAGCAGAGGAGTCACTGACGTCACGTAAACCACGCCCGCAGCTCCAGCACCTGTGTTGCCATGTCCGCTTATTATAAGCGACGTATTTTTTTTTTTTAAAGATGCTTATAAATTGAATGCGAGCATTCCTAAATGTTGGCCTAATGTTCAGAGTATATTACCGTATTTTAGGTTTGCTGATGCTTGACCTTCATTATAGCACAAAGTATGACAAATCATTCAGTGTTTCTGCACTTTCTCAGAAAAAAAGTCATCTAAACTCTACAGAACAGAGTATAGCTAGTTTTTTTTCTAGCACTTAACGTACAAAATATGAACAGAGATTGTATCTTTTTTTTAATAACTCCTTTGCCACGACCTAAACAACGTCGTCTGAACTCTATAGAATGTAATGTTTTTATGTAAATTTAATTAAAATATAAAATAAATTGACAAGTGACTTTAAAAAAGTTTTATTATAGACCTTAATCATGTTAGACACCATATTGAATTTAACACAGATGAAAATGAGATTGTGAGGGATTGACAAAGTCTTTACATGTAATTTTCACAACTCACAATTTATTATTATTTTTTTTGTCTACTGAACTTCTTTTTCAGAAAGACATTTCATCAGCTGAACAATCGGTATTTTGTTAAACAACAGTACAATCCATTGCTACTTTTACACTTCACAGCTTCGTTTTTTTATTCCTGTAAAAAATAAGTATGACGGCCCTAAATAAATTAATTAATAAATACCCTGCCTATAGCCTACTTTGGCAACGTTTAACTAGTTAAACAATTTAAACAGTTAAACTTCGAAAACATTATTTATTGTGTATTTTGAAAGAACAATTTTCTCAGTATTGTTTACGTTAAGGTGCATATAATCCTAATATTAAATAGTGCATCCATAAGCACGACAGAGATCGTTTTTCACTTATTTAGATTTTAATTATTTACAAAATAATAAGGTGCAATTTAGCATTGCTTGATCCAGCTTTTATGTAAACAAGTCCAGGTTGCTTGTTTTTCTTGCGCAATCTGGCAACACCGATCAGCACCTCACTGCAACTGAACAGCGACCATATAAGCACATGTCTGCGTTAAGATTCTCTGCTGTTTTTCATTGGAGGAATATATTTAAAAATCACTGCGCTATATAATGTTGCAGGGGGCTTGCATGCGCTGTGTTTGTTATTACTTCCATCACCATCTTTGTGTTCTTCAAAGATTTGCACAGGGTGTCTTCGCCATGGACGCAAGGGATGGAAACACACAAAGGAAAAACACCAAATTAGTCCAGTGATGCCCATGACAGGCATTGCGTTTTTAAACGTAGCACCCAAGTTTGCATTGTAAATCAGATGCACTGAATCCCTGCTTGGCTGGATCCGTCTGTGTGTCGCTTCCCCCTTTTCAGAAGGAGCCGCATCATCAAAATGTTGGGTAGGTCGTTCACCTGGAGGAAATATAACCAGCGTACCCTCTCTATGCAGCACCGGCTCCCTCTTCAGCACTGACATGCCCGAGTCCAGCAGAAAAACCAGGATCAAAGGGCTCAGAGCTACAGCTGGACGCGTGAGTTGGAAGGAGGACGGCAAACAGGCGCACACCGGGTGTCCAATTCAGTGGAGGCCGGATCACATCTGCTGGGGACGAGCATCAAGGGCAGTGCGGCACTCCAGCGTTTCGGGAGCAGGCGACACGAATCATCCATACACCCTCAGCTCCACAACAGCACCGTGCTCCCGTTACACTTCTCCATCGGTCTCAAAGATGCGCTAGAACAACGCACGCGCGCTCTGAAATGCATCAAAACATGTCGATAGCAGACATGCGTTTCAGTGCTTTCACCCAAAGGATTTATCGAGAATATATTGAGTTGGAAATGAAGACGAGGATTTGTCCGCGTTTCAAGGGGTGTAAAAAGTGCCAATGAATATATTGCTTAAATATATCCTCCTTTTTCCGTCATTGGCCACATTGACACCCCTAATAAGCAGGACCATGGGTTGCATTCAGAGCATCACCTGCAAGCCCCGCATCCGACGGGAGAACATAGTGGTCTATGAGGTCTCAGCCTCCATTGACCAATGCCCGACCATCATTGAGGAGAATTCGCCCATTGTCCTGCGATACAAGACCCCGTACTTCAGAGCATCGGCCGGGATAGTGATGCCCCCGGTTCCCAGAAACGAAACATGGACCGTGGGCTGGATTCAGGCGTGCACCCAAATGGAGTTCTTCAATACATATGGTGATATTGGCATGTGAGTAATCGGTAAATCAAACAAACAACGACAAGCTCAAGTTTCAATGTGTGTTACATGATAGTGATAGTAAACTCAAACAAAATGTTGGAGGTTTTTATATTTAATGGTCGTTCTTTGTGGTCATCTGTTGTCGAGAAATGAATGAGTATCAGGTTGCGCGGTTTGACATCTCTATATCTTTGTAGAATCTGTTCTTTGTATGTAATATTTATTGAAGGGTTGTGGGCCGTTCAGAAAAAGAACTTCGAATGCTTTCAAAACTCCAATTAGTTACAAAGTATCAAGCAGGATGCAGAACTCCAATTCCAATTTGAATACAAAGTAGATTGAAAAAGACGGTATTTTGACATGAAAAAACAAACGTAATAAAGCCTTGTTTCAAAGTTGTGGAAAAGTTTAAAAACCCTTAAAAGTTTAAAGGGGTCATATGATGCGATTTCAATTTTTCCTTTCTCTTTGGAGTGTTACAAGCTCTTGGTGCATAAAGAAGATCTGTAAAGTTGCAAAGACTAAAGTCAAAAGAAGGCTAACTTTAATTCTTGCTGTTGCCTCCGCTGCCATTTTGTGGAGTTGCTGTGTGTTTCGTTGTGAAAGCGTAACTACTTTGTTTGGCCTTCCAAAAGAGGACACGACTAGAAATCAGTAGTTAAGTTGTATTTACAACACTGTTCCAGAACAGTTCAACCCAAATATTCAGATGTGTGCTGCACATTTTATGGAGGATGAGGACTGTTTCCTGATCCAGTAGCCTACAATGCGTCTGTGGCACAAAGGCTGTTTCTTTAAAGTTGGGCAGTTCCAACTTCTGGTGACAGTCTGGTGCTTCTGACTCACAGACTGTAAGTACGTTTTTTATATTTAAATAATTTGCCACTGATGATTCAAAAATTTTGAGCAGTGTAGAGTAGGCTTGTCATTTCTCCGATCACAAATGCAGACATGGTTTTATGTTTACGCGGTGCGATGCAACGCAACGCATAAAAAGACAGTATAAGTCATTATAATCAGTAATTATGTCCCCACTGGATGCAACAAATGCCTCATTTGTAATCGGTTTTATTGGTTTTGTCTCGTCCTGCTGGGAGACGGCATCACAGTATGATAAGGGGCGTAACATTTCCGTCACACGCTTGAGGAATTCGGCCAATCACAACGCACTGGATAGCTGGCCAATCAGAGCACACCTCGCTTTTCAGACCGATGAGCTTTGTAAAAATCGACGCGTTTCAGAAAGGCGGGGCATAGAGGAGAAACAATAAT